CCTATGTGAGCCAACACAAGATATTCGTGTGTAATATTATATATATTAAAATTTTATGTTGAAGAAGACACAATACCAGGGTTTTTAAATATATTTTTAATATTGTATGTATTATTATACACGAATATCTATGTTGGCTAATATATGTAGGCATTTCCTTACATTATCATTATTAAGTTTATTTGTGGAGCCTTATATTGTAATTTAAAAATTATTACAAATAAGAAACTTATAAAAATTTGATTAGTATACCTAATTCTTTCATTTTTTAAATAATATATAACTATTATATAGAATATAGATGATTATCTTTATGGATGAACTCGGGATTGCTCAACAAATTCCATGGGATACATTGAGCTCTAATTTCCCCTATTCAATATAAAAATTTTTTATTTATTGTATAATAAATATTTACGAAATATAATTAAAGATTTGTGAATGCTCAATTATTAATATAGATAAACACGTAATATTTTATTCTCATCGTTAGTCTATCGTAATTGAGTGAAAATTTATAATCATTAGAATAAAAAATTGCTCAACTAGCCTCACTCAATACTCGAAAATTGAAATAAAATAAAAAGTAACAATGCATTGCGAGACAAAATTGAAACTTGCGGCAATGATGAGCGTTCGATTCAATTGCAAAATTATCGATCCTGCAATAGACTACATGAATAATGATAAACAATGCAGAAATAATTTAATCAGGATCGAGACGCGGCGCGGCGCGGTGATGTGTCGCTGCGGAATTACGCTGGCAAATATTTCGGTGACTAGCGAGCTATTCAAACGGACTTCCGTTTGTGGTTCGGGGAGAGACGAAGGGAGGAAGGTAACTTGAAAACATGTATCGCGCAGAGTTGCTTGCCTATCGCGGCTAATTACGCGTAATGCGCCCACGCCGGCCGCTTTGTTGTTACACACCGCGAAACTCGTTACTGAAATTTCACAAGCTCCGCGCACGAGTTATGATCGTGCGTTATACGCGCTATCTCGCGCTTTAATCTCCACGCCGACATTATCCTTCTCGTATTGTTCCGATGGGAAGTCTTCCTAGAGGAAGTCGAAGTTGAAACGCGAAGAGCAAGAGAGATAGACATATGTACGTGTGCGTGTGCATGTGTGTATGTGTATATGATATTTCCGTCTCTACTTGCACGTATGCTTCTATTATGTACTACCTTCCTCAGATTTTGGCCGAGAGTGATGCATATTTCGTGTATATATATATATAGTATGGCTTTCTTGTAACTCTCTCTCTCTTTCTCTTTCATTCACACACTCACTCATTTCCTTCCTCACTTACTCACCCTACAATTTAACTCGCGGATATTGTAGTACATCACGTAGTAACGAAGTCTTTTGATAAGTTCCACGGAGATTATGGGGACTTACGGTTTCCGCGTAGTATTGGCCAGCGGGTGTCTCTCATTTGTTCTCGGCAATTCCTTTCGTATTGCATGTTTCCGCTCGCGCGAAGAGAACGGACGTGATGCGGAAAATCGTTTTTCTTTGCGGCTCGGTCAACTAATTACAACTTCAATTTAAATTGTCAACTGAAAAGATTTTTTTATTTGTCATGTCTCACGTTTTTATTAACGCAGTTAATATTGTTGATGTTTATTCGAGAAATGTATGCGATGAGCGTAAGGCGAAATGCGACTCTTGCCCGAAACGTTTGTCCTAAATCCGCTGCGTACATTCGCCGCGATTTACTTCCGATGACCATGGTAGTAGTTCCGATAGCTGCGGCATTACTTCTTTCCGATAAGTTCATATTATCCTGACGGGAATCAAAGTCGTGGAGAGAATGGGAATGGCGTAGGAAGATATCCGTGTATAACAGTCCGTGTGGTCTCCTCTATACTGTCGAGCAGTCACTTGACGTGCATACATATCTCAGGAGCTCGCGTGCCACGACGTGCGAACGTGGGGAAGGTGCATGTGGAGGAAGGAGAGAAAGAGAAAGATAAAGAAGAGAAATGCAGAGAGAGAGAGAGAGAGAGGGGGGGGGGGGAGCACATTTCGGTGAGTAAGCTGCTAGGGATTTGCATGGGACAATATCTCGTCTGATTTATCCTCCAGAAGCTGAGGGCGGAAAAGGGCAGACGAGTTCGAAGGATTTATTTCTTCGGCATTTTACGCGCAAAATAAAGGAGAAATAAAGAAGAGTGCAACTATCTTCCTTCTTTCATTTCTTTCTTTGCAAGAACATTCAGTTTATTACCGTTTGTGTGCAACACGCGTGGCTCCGTGAGCTGCGCACCAAGTCGAGCAGAGCGGAGCGGAGCACATCGACGCGGCATTGCGCGCCAGACAATGCGCTCACATTTATGGCCTTTACCGTTTAGTTTATCGGTAGAACACTTTTCTCGGCATCTACTTGAGCCCCCGTGGGATTTACGGCCTGACCCGTAAAGTCCGCCTTCACTTACTTTCCACGTGACTTTAACATCGCGCTTTCGCAATCGAGGGTCATGACTTCGTCCGTCAGTAGATAGCATCGTCTATCGACATGTCCACAGCTCGTTGGCGATGTCGTTGTCAACGTGTACTCGTTTCGCGGCAATCTCGGTGAATTGTCGTAAAAATGAACTCGACCCTATAGCCTCTTATATTTGTTCGGTTCTAAATTGTACTCTACTCATCACGATAGTTCAAATGACATTATCTGAAAAGCCATTTCGTCGTGATACAACAAGACCATTATTTATTGTCTGTGTTACTAGTAAAGGTCTGTATATTCAGTGACACAATGTAACTGCCGACAAAAGATGTTAAGACAGGTTCCGACTTCTGACCGCTATTTCTGAACTCTCGCACATATACGCACGATTTTGCGAGCAAGTCCGAGGTCAACGTGATAATCATCAGGGCGTGGGTGACAGTGGGTTGGAATAGCCGAATTGGGTGACCGGGCTTTCAGGACTCTGTAATTTTCGTCTATGCTCCATTACATTCGGACCTGAGGGAAAATAGTGATGATGATCCTGACAATTTGGGGACGAGCAACGTAGAGATGCTGATAAGCGCAATGTTCCCCAGATATTCAGCCAGCGTCTCTTATTAATAAATTGCTCATCGGATGCCCGAACTAATTGACTTGCTCCGACGAGAAAAGCCCGGAAATTTGATACGTCTCGTAAAATAATTTAGTTATTGCGTGCGATTTAATCCAAAAGTTATCATCATTCCTCGATGTCTTTCTACGATACCGACATCGTTTCTAATAGTTCTTAAACAAAGCCGCGGACCTAATCTCGATGGCTCCGCATACGTATGTTAGATGGTAGAAGGAAACGGTGAAGTTAGTTGGAGACTTCATAGTTTGTCGTTGGATACGAATACATATATATACTCAGTTGACGAGAGTTTCATTCCGGTAAGTTCGCGCAGGTTTCCCTGCAGTAATTACTTGTAAATCTCTTACGAATAACGGCAAACGCGAGATTAATTTCGCTTACGAGGACGTGTAATAATTAGTGTCCTTACAACTGTAGAAAATAGGTATGCAATTAATATTATCAAATTGTTTTAAAGCATTAAAATTATGGCTGTTAATTCCTGCAGAGTTAACAATGAGTTTGCTAAACCCACTCAATAAGTCTCTTTGTCAAAAATATCAATTCAGTTTTCTTTATGTTCGTTTCCACTAATGTAGATTAATTTTATTCTTCAGATTTTTCTAATTCTTAGAAGTTGAACCAAGATTAAATAATAATCTACTATTGAAAACGAGCATTAAAATTCATTTTTGTATAGGTTATATCATTTTGGTACTTTGAAATTAATTTGTGTCTTTTAAATATAAATCAAATGAGTCTCACAGATTCAATATCAATAACTGTATTATAGATTTTGATGTCAGCTCCGAACAATTATTAAACGCTTGTATAACGCAAATATTGTTGTCGAACACAAGTGTTGAAGATAATATAAAAATTGTATTCTCTTTAAATTTTCAATATGATCTGTATTATACGCGCGATTTAGAAATTGCTCTAAAAAAATATTCAAGACTTTTAAAATATGTAAACCAGAAATAAATCTGTATGCTGCAATCGAGCGAGTTAAAAGAAAATCAATGGCGCGCACTCGAGCGATTTAATTTTTCTTCTGGAGATTCTGTTGCTTTTTCTTATTTGTGTTGGAACTGCAGAAAATTTTACCTTATTTTGCCAATTCTGCAAACGTCAGGATCAAACGTTTTAAACTTTTTCATCGTGTATGCATATACATATATATATGCGGAAAACTATTTTCTACGATCGCACATTGTTTATATAAATGCAATTGAATTGAAATTGTTTCTCTTTAATATCCCTCAAGCGGACTAGAAACTTCCTTTATAGTAATACTTGAAATGAAACATTTCGTCGGAAACTTGATTAAAACTAATAGAAACTTGTTGAAATTAATTAATTGATTTTATGCTTTTGCATTTCGGACAAAGTTTACGAGAAGCTTCGTAAAATTTAATAGTAAATAGCGTATTTAACTATATTCTACTCTTTCGTATCTCAATGTATATGCAACGGAAGTAAATTATAATAAATTATAAAATTGTATTCATGATTAAAAAAGCAATTGTGATGGCAACAATTTACGATCTTTCCGCAGATTTATATGTTCAAAGCGTTTGATTCCGAAAAAGATACAATTTGCCGAAAATCCACGCGGTGAGTGAACAATATAAAGCCTTTTTGTAGCGACACGTTGACAAGGGTAGATATCGCTTTGTATTTGAATGTATCTCTCTCGGGCAATTTTAACGTATACAGCACATTTTTATCCGCGCTGACATATTTACATGCGTTTGAAATTTTATTTAAAATGTCGAAAATGTCGGAACCATCCAAAAAGACTACCACGTGGAAAGCCAATAATTTTGTCGATATTATCGTGAGAAAGATATACGGAGACATATTGCGACATTTCGGCAGATAATATTGAAGATTTTCGGTGATGTATGATTTCACTCGCGACTCACCCACCATTGAGCACGTGGACAAGAACGCTAGCTGACTCGGCTGTGGATGGCGCACAAGTGTAATTGCCGGAATCGGCTGGCAGCGCTCTGCTGATCAGAAGACGTGACGTTCGCGTTTGCTTTTCCGTCACGACACTAATGCCCCCGCGTTGGCTGTAGTTTATCACGTTATCGCCTTTGTACCTGAAAAATTACCCTGGTCAACACGGTTTCGATAACATTGGTAAAACCTACCTATATTTTGTGTTTCCCTATTGATTTTGAATTTTCATGTCTGATATTTAAAACGTTTAGCATGTTTTTTTTTATGTAAAAGTCCTTACGAAAGGACTTGTTTTTGAAAATCTAAATATGGACAGTAGTATTCCCGTAAATTATTGTACAAATGCACCAAATCAATTTCATTATGTATAACTATTTCGTTATATGAAATCACAAAATAGATCATTTGCAAAAAAGCTTACAACTTAAAAGTTTATATTTTTTTGTAATTTTATTGTATACCTACTGACCGTTTAATTTATTTTAATCATACTTATATGACATAAAGGATTTGCAATTTTTATTTTCTTATTTAGAAGAGAAGGTAGTATTATGCTAGTATAGATATAATGACTTTTAATATCTCTGCTTGAGTTATTTAAGAGACAAATTTCTATTGTTTATGAAATTATTTATTTAGTAGCTGGCCGTTACATCATGGCGCTAATATTTCACTACACAATAGCCAGCATTTATTATATAAACATTTTTACTTTCAAGCATTATGAAATGTTTTTATATTTTTACATTTAATTATACATATTTTTTCATTATTCTTAAATGTATTATACTATTATCATGAATATATGTACATTTAAGTGCGTTATTTATTATTTAACATTTTATTTGGCTGTACATTTCAAGCAATGCAAAGTTAAATAATAGAATTAATACAATTCAAGTTATGCAAAGTTAAATAATAGCATGACATTTGCTAATGGCTTGCTAAGCACGCTAATTGCTTCTGACAACTTCTTTTTCGAGATTTTTATACAATAAATAATAATTTAAAATAAAATCAAAATACAATAATTCCATAAATTGATTGTAGCTCTATTATTAATTTATAGTTTATGTACTAGAGATTTTTGGTAACAAACAGCCTATATACGGAAGAAGTTGTGTACGTATTTACATTTGCATATATTTTGTTATTTATTAATTACTATTATTTAATCTTTTATTTTACTTTTTATTAATTTAATAAAAATAGTGTCTTTAAGCAATTTTTTAAGTTTGTATCACCTCTGTTTCTCTTCAAGTCATTATACCTGCCACTTTTTAAAAAATAGGTTCATAAGTAATATATGTTTTATAACTTTTAGTCTAGAATCTATTGAACAATATTTTAACGAATATAATGAATTAAATTTTAAATTTAAATATTAATTATTAAAAATTATGAAAAGAAGAGCATAGAAGGAACCACAGCACAAGTTATAGTTTGTGATATTTAATTATTATTGCAAAAATTAATTATTACAATAAAACATTAAACGTTTCGGCCACAATCTGACCATCTTCAGTAAATTAATAATATTCTTAAGACGCAGAGTTACATCAAGTTGGAATAAAATTCAACCGTCGTGTGTTATAATTGTAAAAACGTGTTTACTTCTATGCTGCTTCGTATAATAATATTAGAACGTTAGAAGTCATATCATAAAAAGTGTAGAACGAGAATTTCCAGATTCTAATTTGAAATAATTTATTCTATCATTAATATCTTTTAATCGGAGTATAAAACAATAGAATCGTTACCTGTTTTACAGCAAAAAATATAACGATGAATCTCAAGTATAACCATTGCACAGATAGAAATTTGTCGTGACATTATGTGTTGTTATTGATCATATCATATATTTTACCGCTATTTATATCCATGAGTCAAACAGTTTGGAAAGCTCTAGAATTATTTATTAAATGCGAGAGAGATCTTTCTTTAGAAGAGGAAGATAAACATCAGGTAAACTTTCAGTATTACTTTGTTTATTGATCCCACTTATTTGGTCTTTTATATGTATCATTTCTGAAATTCTTCGTTTCATTAATGATTGTTCTGTATCTAAAATTTTTATGTTATCCCAATCAAATAAGCTATATCAAAACCAATGAATATATGCAAGTTTTTTGAATTTTTCAGAAACCTTGCTCAAGTATGGTATCGTGAAAAATTTTTTCTTATTAGAGAGCTAATGGATGATTCGAAAAATAATTTAAATATCTCCCCGAATTGGTAGGTTTTTTATACATATCGAAGATGATACTTCCTTCTTGAATCATTAATTTGACGTCTAGAAAATTAATACCGTTTTCATCGCCAAAGTCAAAAATAAATCTAAGTCTATCGTGATATGAATTAAATAATTCTAGAACTTCTTTCTTTTCTTTATGTATAATTATTTATGTATAATTATTTATGTATAATTAATTATTAATAAAAGTAATTGTATAAAATTTAAAATAGGGTCATAATACCACCTTCTTCTCTATTTAAGTTGCGTGTCTGTTTAGCTTTGAAGTATTCTCTTGATTCGTATTATGGGATTGTGGATTCGTATTGTTAACCGTAGGGAGGGATGGGAGTTTTATATACACACAACACACACACACACACACACACACACACACACATAAATATTATATTAATATTTCAATTATGTTTAATTTCTTATTAATAATATTGTTTTTTTTATATTTATTATAATATTGTATTATTATTTAAAATTTTTTATATCACGAAAGACGTTGCCTGAAATGTCCGATTTTCGATGTCAGATCCGTTCATGTTAATAAATTATATATTTTAACATCATTTTGTTCGTTTTAAATTTATGACTTTGTTCGTTATATTATTGTAGTCTATATTTCGGTTGTCAAATTGAAAATCAAAATAAAAATTGAATTTATATGTGCTGTACATATTGTTATATGGAAAATAAAGCTGCTATTTCTAAAAATAATATTCTAATAAATATTGTAGTAACATAATAAAAAATGAAAAATAAAGCAAATATAGAAAATACAGCAGATATTTGTATTTGATGCTTTCTGTTAATGCATATTCGCCTAATTAACATAATTCTATATCAAATTTTAAATAGTAACAATTTATATATTTTGTGAATTTCACTATGATACCTTAAAAACTCCACTCTTTGACAAAAAGAATATTACACATACTTAATTCTGTTTCCATGTTTCCATGTTTTTTGGAATCTTGTTTGAAACATGGACGGTTCACTTGATGCTACGAAGCATTTTTTCAATTAGTAAAATTCTTCCTTCCGATTGGTCAATCAAAAGTTTCGAAGCATTTGTAGCGTCAAGTGAATCGTACCTATAAGAATAAAAAGGATGACAAATTGTACATTAATCAAAGAGTTAAAAATGACGTCATGATAAAAATTTCAGTAAGAAAAAAGTTATACGTGTTAAAGTTTTTATTTATTTTTGTATCCAGTAAGCAAAAACGTCATTTATAAACTACCTTATATATTCCACTAAACTACTATTATTATATATTCCATGTTTCCAAAAAAGGTGATTTATGTTAACAAAAGAATTTTTTTATTTCTTAATCAGTGTTATCGAGAATCTGGAAAATATTAATAAACAGAAAGCAATTGTAAAATAAAATCTGTTAAACAATTTCTAAATATCTTTATTAAATTATTAAATAAAATATACGAATAAATTATATGTGTGAATGTATTTATATGCGAATGTAGAAACACAAAAAAATTTCCGAATTAGAATATTAGCAATCTATAAATTTTAAAGATCATTAAGACAACTAAGGATCATGTGAGATTTATAAATTTTAAAGATTATCATCTCCAGGGATTAATTTCAGTAGAGATTCACTTCATTGGAGATTCGTTTTACGGGCGTTCGCGTTGAAATTTTCCAATAAAACAGATTCTACTGAATGGAGGTCACTGTAGATTTGGATTTCGCGAAAACATTCGGCTGTGTCGAAATACATGTGGAACAAATTCAATCCGCACTATAGTCAAGGGAGAACGTTGAAACTCACCAATAGATGAAGGATGGTGGTTCCGGCGTTTGCAATACGATACAGGTCAGATTGATGTCGCTTCCGCTTTTGATGTAGAGCTCCGAATTGCCGTTGATCTTTGCCTTCGAGACTGCACGTGAGGACAGAACAAAGTTAAAGTGGTTTTTAGCCATAGAGCGGGTCGTCAAGTAAAGCCCGGACTAAGAAGTATGATCGCAATTTCGTTTAAACCGCCGCAAAGCTGCAATTAACTCATGTCGAACCGCTCGAAACTGGCCATTTAAAAATTCACTTAAGAAACAAACGGCTTTTAGAAAGTGTTACTGAACACAGCTGGGAATTTGTAATCGCGCGCGCTTAAAACACAATCCTTAAATTTTCATTCTTATGTTGATTTTTGTTTATTTTAATTAACGAAAATCGCAAACATAAATCTATCATAAAATTTATTACCGTTTTTAAATTATTCCATTATAATTTATTTTCGATTATAATTGCAATTATTCGATTATAATTTACTTCTATAATTTTTTATTTCCTTCTAACTTGAGGTTATTTAATCAAAATCCTGCAGAATTTGTTTATATATCGATTGAATTTTATTTGTCATAAATGAAAAGAGAGATATGCATACGTACCAACTACACTCAAGTTGAAAGCTTGACTAATTTTGGGCTCCGTCGAGACCTGGCATTCGTAGATTCCGCTGTCTCGCACTTGCGGTGAACTGATTTTCAGGGTCCACTCATCGCTGCCATCGCTGTGCAACGATTGGAAACGTTGGTCGTTCGTGTATGTTAGGATGCCGACAGTGAGGATGTGCAAATCTCGCTGCCTGATCCATGAGACCTGCGCAATCAAGAGGCCCGCTGTTATAGCAGCAAAATACACCAAACTGAACATTCAACCGAGAAATCCGACTCGTTATGCCGCATAAATTTTGTGCGATGACCTCTAATGTGCATTTCGCACGTTTCTTGAAAATATCACAATGTAAAAAGTAAAATGAGGAAAATCGCAAAATTATATTTCGTAAAAGATACTAAGATACTTTTTAATTCTCCGAAGCTAACGCCAAAATTTGTAATACAATTACTGGCATTAGGTCTGTAAGACTCATTTAATTTATATCTATTAATTAAAACATCAATTAATTTTAAAGAACCAAAATGACATAACTAATGTTATTTTCCTGAAAAATTTAAATTTTGTCGAGGTGAAATAAATAACATTCTTTCATTAAAAAACGCTACGAATTAATTCCAACACCTAATACTTTTTTCCAGATTTTTTTCTAGAAACGAATCTGTCCATTAGAAAACAACAATTGTTTTTCAATGCTTTTTCATTTCTTTTTACTCTAATTTAACTTCCTTTTAAAAATCTTCATTTATAATTATCAAAGTAAAATAGAGTATATTTTTAAATAATAATATTACATTAAATATAGGAAAAGGTATAGCTACGTTAACATTATCTGCAGTGACATACATTACCAGTTGCAGAATCATTCGATTATGTTAATTCTAACGATAGTACATAACACATTATTTATATTGGGGATGCTATAACATTTAAAAGGTTTTAACCAGTTTAATTCTCAATATACAATAATTAAAAGTATAATTTTAAATAAAGAAGAATATTCTTGTCCATTAAAAGTTCTCTCAAGTATACGTGGGAAAGAACATTTTTCCATTATTTCCTGGTTTTTCCTGAGATTTTTTCTTGTCTTACAACACTTATAGATACAACTCGTAGATATAATTCGTAAAAAAGACTAAATACATTCAAACTAACAATAAGTACATTCTAATAAAAATAATCCAAAAAAGAATGTGTGTGTAAAAAAGGGAAGGCTTCGTTTTCTACAAATTGATTGCTTATTACAATATACCTATATATATCATATTTGTCGACTATTCGTTTGCGCACAAAGATTATTGCCTACAAATAGATTGCCCTATATCCATACTAACAATTATAGGTTGCATCTGCGTCTGCGTTTACGTCTCTTGATCAATCAGAAAAAAACTACTAACTAGCAGCTTCCTTAAAATTGATCAAGAAACGCAAACGCGATCGCAACCTCCAATCGTTAGTGTGTTGCATTATTGTGTATAAATATAAAATTAAGAATTAAAGATATGTTTGCACACACTATTATTATTTGTATTATTTGTATTACACACTTATTATTGTTTTAAATCAGAAAGTGTTTGTGGGATTTTTTAAAACTAAAAACATAAAATAATCATTATTAGATCATCAGATCAGAGAGAAAGTTATGAAAATCAGGATTTATTGTTTATTATTGGAATAGATATATTAATGTTTTTTAAGCTTTGAATTCTTGAAGTAATTATAAAATTAATTGTATATTTACATCTTGAAAGGCGAATAGTTGTAGAGAATATAATTTTTTGTTCATATAATGTACAGAGTGCATGTCTTGTTTGAATACCACAGGTAAATATTTCGAAACATATGAAAGATATGAAAAGTTCCGATGGAAGTTGTACAATTTGAAAGGGAACAAATAAAATAATAAAATTAATTTAAGAAAAATGAATTTTCAAAGTCATCAAGATCGATATTTCTTAAAATGAAATTATATATATATATATATATGTATATATATTTTAACATAAAATGATTTCCTAATTATTCTGTACCTAAATAAAAGTATTAAAATAAGGAATGCATCGGATATCTGAAAAATATCAGTTATTCGGTATTAACCGGTATTTTTTTACTATCTGGTCGGTAATAAATCCAGGTGAAATTTTATATTGAAAGTTTGCGTTATTAAGGCAGAATTTTATCCTTTTCAGCTGAACTTGCACAGTTAATTCCTTTCCTTTTTTTCTTTCCACGTTGGGAAGATAAAAAAATTGTTATCGCTATTTTTCTCTTGCTTTCCTTTTTTTTTAAGTCTTGTTTCAGATATCTGATCGGATATCCGGGGAAATATCTAGTATCCGATCGGATAATTGCTCTACCAGATATCTGATCAAATATCCGATATCTCGTATCTGACAATTTTATGATTCAGGGAATCCCTAATTAAAATAAAATTATCAAAATCAATAGTTTATGAAATATTTTATATTTCATATAAAAAATGTGTTAGAATAAAGTGTGAAATATCTCATATGTCATTCATTTTTTAATAATTTTGCTGTAATATTTTTATATGCAGAATAATTAGAAGAACATATTATATTAAAAATCATATAATTTCATTTAAAAAAATGGCTTAATAAGGGACTTTAAAAAATTGATTTAAAAAAATTAATTTTTAAAAGTCATATTAAGTTATCGCTATTTTTTTTTAATGGAATTATATGAGTTTTAATATGTATTCTTCTCATTATTCTGCATATAAAAGTATTAAAGCGAAATTATCAAAAAATGAATAATTTTTTCCAGTAGAAAATAGAATAAGTTTATTTTTCCACATAACTTTTTCAAACCATATAAGTTTTATCTGTAACATTTTCCATATTTTTTATATTTTTCGAAATATTTGTCTATTTAAATAGGGCATTTAAAACAGGATACATCATGATAAAAAATTATATTTTCTATATTTATTACCTTTCAACACATAAATATGTAATTAGTTTTATTTTAAAAAGTACATATAAAGTACATAGCTTAAAAATTCATTTCAATAATAAATCTCGATTTTTATAACTTTTCCAGTAACTCAATTATTTATTTAATAAATAAATAATTGATATTTTCTGTTTTTAGAGGATCCCAGAATGATTTGGTAATGATTAATTTAGTTTCCGCATCTAGACAAAAAATGACCTTTTTTCACATCCTCTTTTGCTATATAATGTAATATAAAGAAAATTAAATTAATTGATATTTTTAACAAAAAGATTTGTAATTGAGCTTCGAAAGATTAAAGCCTAAAATATTGACGTCGAAATTTTTTTCGGATTAATTTTCGAATGGCATCACGTACACGCGAATGCGATCAAATTACGTATGCGCAAAAAAGAAAAATCTCTGATTGACACCGGACTGTCGCGCGACAATCTGTCACCGGTGTAAAATCAAGGCTTAAGCGAAGCGCAATCGCGACGGTCGTGCTGATTCTACGATCGCAAACATAAACGTCCAGATGTGCGTGCGTGCGTTATTGAGGGCCGATGGCGTGGCTGTGAATGGCGGAAGCAGGGAGCTAAAGGGTGATCCGCAAAGGGGCAAGGGGATAGGGTGCGAGAGAAATTTGATTTATCGGCGATTACGATCGGTGATTGGACTCTGACGGGTTCCTGGTGCGTCACGCGATGATGCATGAGCAACGGCCGATAACGCGTAATGTCACCGTGCGCCCGGGTGACCTATGCGCCTACCCGCGAAATTACTTTGCATTAGGACCGCGAGTGATGAATACCGGGTTAAACAGCGGCTCGAACGGCCCGCTAATCCACTAAACCGTCCGAAAAATTGACGTCGCGACTATGTGTTTAGTACACACACAATGCTCCTTTTATAACATGGAACGTCACTTTAATCACTTCATATGACCAACAATAGCGGGATGTGAATTAACCAGACAGCGGAATATAAAAGTAATTTACTAAAAAAAAAAAGAAAAAAAAAGGAAGTAAAGTGAAAAAGAAAATCTGCAAAGAAATATAATTTATTTGTTTTTTTGTAAAAATATATGTTTTTGTTTTCTCAATAATATAACATCAAAAGAGATTTCTATACGCAGAGAGTTAATTTTCTACAACACAATTAGATTGTATAACTATTTAACAAATATAACTTTCAGTTAAATATTCAACTTTCTGATTATTTTTCGCTAAAAATAACGTTTCACAATGTGAATCATAATTGGAAGTATTTCGATGTTAATGAGATCATTAATATACCATCGTAATTTTCTAAATTTACGCAAGAAAAAGTGTATGCACGTTGAACCGTGAAGAGTTATACTTGCCCCGCAAGTTCACAGGCAAAAATAAGAAGAAAGGAAAAACGTGGAAAAGAGTTACAAAAGCCTTGGCGCGCGAAGATGTGAACTAGGTTACTCCATATACTCGTATATATAAAAGTGCGATGTCGCGTGGGTAAATGAGGAATGAACTCGTATACGAATTGCAGGTCGCGCGAGTGCATTAGCAAAGAGAGCTGGCAAAGTTTGCCGAGGAAACGATCGCGGATTAATGCCTCGCCGACGCTGTAACTGCGAATTTATTTGACTTCGAATTGCGTGATTCCGATCGTCGGGATTTCCACGTACGCAAAATTTATCAACGCCAGGCGGAGAGTTCGCGCGAAAGGGCAGGATAGAATTTGAAAAATACGTTTCGCAAAAATAATAATAACATAATTGAAAATTTTCGAACACGAGTATACGCGATTTAATTTTGCAGTGACAAATGCGTTGCGTTTTCATACTCTCTCTCTCTCTCTCTCTCTCTCTCTCTCTCTATTGAATCCCCATGTAATAACAAAATTTAATCGCGAAAACTTGTTGACGCATAACCGAACGTTAAAACGTCCATCGAGCTTTGCATAATTCACGTAATAAGAAGATTAATCGGTTAATTGATTTTTTCTTCGATACGAGCGACATCGACAACGCTGCGAGATTATTGACTATTGTAGGTTCCAGCGAAATAATCCCGCAATATTTTTCGTATTCTGTATTCTCGTCTTATACGTTCTATCTTTAATCTTCCCAATGGGTAAGTTCGTTAAAACCGTGCTTGGTTGGATTATTGAAGAAACGAGTAATATTGACGTATACAATATCGTTGCAACGACGGTACGTTAACTAAAGCGAATCCCTGAATAATTTTCAGGAAATAAAAAAAATAGCAATCTTTCCTTTCGCTACGAAAACAAAACAAAAAAAAACAAAAAACAGACACAAACAAACATTGACAAACTTGAGGAAAGATTTAAAATGCGCGATGTAAAAATATTTCGGAGAGACTCGTTCGCAATTGATAAATGCAGTATTGAACGATACAAAATACAATATAAATGTCTCTATGCAAAACAATGGTTTTGCTGCGTTTAGAAACTTTATTCGAGTGCATACTTGCACTCAAGTATGATTTTATCTTTGTTTAATATTGGTGAACCATAAGAATAAAATGATACATTCTGAATTCTCGGACATCCCTGAAGTATCTAAGAATTGTAGATAAGTACCAATTTAAAAATAAATTTTGGACCATCAAAATAATTGTGTAGGAGGCTAATTGTTAAAGCGTCGAAAGTTTTTACAGCTCATCATGTTTTAAAATATAATTCTATACATGATAGTTGAGAATATAATCTTTAATATTTTTATTGAGATAATTATATTGAGTTTTAATGGAAATTTTTCATTTTTATAAATAAATTCCAACGAAATTATTTTAAGATTTGTATTTAGCTTTTCTTTTAGATGCTTTTAGCACAAAATTATTTTGTCTACGTATAAAACGAGAATAATCTTCGAAATCAGAATCGCAATATTTAACGGACTCGCGCGATCTTAATCTATACTCGCGAAATACAACATTCTCAAACACGAGCAGTGTTATTACAACGACCGGGTTCTTGATAAGGAAACTTGGGACTTACCGCACGATCGCCAAGATTGCGCACCCTGCAGTGCAGGTAAGCGGATTGCCCAACGGTGGTTGTGGTCTCCCTCTTTGTCGTGTTGTCGAAGTAAGGCTGACTAAAGGGTTGTTCCCAGTAAGAGGACGGATGGTGCTCCACTACAGATCTTCCGTTCTTGGCCGCGCATTCTGTCACAAACAATAAGACTCGTTAATGGGATTTATTTATTGACACATTCTAATAAAAATTTTGACGCGAAATATTGGAATTTTTATTGGAATTTAAATAAATCTTTGAAACTTTAAAAGCTCTATAATAATTAAATTTCTTAAAGCCCGAGAATAGCGGAATTCTTCAACAATAGCGAAATTAATTAAATTAATCGGTACCCGCGATAGCATCAAATTAATAGTGAATTTGGTTGGATGCACTCAGTGCGCACTGGTGCGTATTAAAACTGTCAAACTCAAATTGATATAAAAATATGTGTTTAAAATAAATATAAAAATTGATTAAACTTTGAAATCTTCTATATCTATATTTTATTGTGCTCTGTTAAGTAAAATTTATATTTTATAATTTGAAATATTTGCATTTTACTTTTACACAAATTAAAATACTGTACAACGATTTCAATATGCACTAGTGCATCAATATACACAATAGTGCATCCAACCGAATTCGCTAAAGTAATAAAAAGAGAATTCATATTATACCCAAGCGTTCGGTTAGCGCAAATTAGAAATCATCAAAATACGTAATTGGAAACGGATAGCTTAATGACGTATCGATAATTGCTGGGAACTCACGCAAATCGGATTGCGGCGTGACAATGCGATAAATTATGCGTTAACTGGCGAGACAGAATGTACAAAACGGGATTTCAAGCTGATCGAAACACGTAATGTGATTAACTCTACGTATAAAATCTCGGTCACGTCGTGCTCTTTCATAAGGAAATCGATTCTTTCAATGATCCCATTACCGAGCAGCTTCTGCCAAGCTTATCCGGTTGAGTTTGAAGCGAACTGAACTCGTCGTGACGAATACAGAAATTCAAATCTGAAACCGTTCGAGACGTCGTTCGCTGTGGACGAATGCATGAACTCTGGTAGAGTTCCCTTCGGGAGACCTACCTCGAAAATTCCTAGCGTATTACGCAAAAGCGATTTCCCTATGAGGTCTCAAATGGAACGAAAATCTGATCTATGCCTAGAAATTGCGTAATTTACAGGCAGAGCGATCGAAATTCGTTCGTTAAGTGAAGTTACGTACATATGCATAAAACTGTACTTAGTGCCCGGATGTTTCCTAATATGAATTTTATTACTTTTTACGTAGAGCAGAGATCTGATGCATAATAAAAAAAAAACATTTTGTACTTCCATTAAAACGATCCTTATTAAAATTTTTGTGTTAAATTCTTAATACATATATCTAAATGTTAATTTAACATAATGTCATTACGTTATTTTATGTTAAATTGATATTTAACATTTTTTATTGTTAAAGTAACATAATTTATAGATAAGTAAACAAATAACATAAAAACAATGTAGTTTTAAAACATAAATTCTAAGACTAAATGAATAAAATGTGTTGATTTAATATATTATAAATGTTACTTTTACTGAAGAAATATGTTCTGTACAACTAATTACATATATATTTTTTTTTTGTAAAAAGGTGCAGATATTTCGTGTCATTTTCTCTTTGTAACAGTAAATATCAAATTTAACATTATGAATGTGTCAATTTAACATAAAATTTTTAAATTGTGTCAAAGTATTACGCTTCTTGTGTTAATTTCTTATACAATATTTATGTTACTTTCGAATATATTCATCTTATTAAATTAAACAAAAATTTAAGTAGATCGTTAGGGACATGTAGAATATGTTAAATTTAACACAAAATTTGTTACTGTGTGGGTATGAACTTTATCGACAATGGAAATATTACAGTAGTAAAAGATAATGATAAAAACATAAAATAAATGGAAAGGAATAATAATAAAATAAAACTTATTGTGGTATACCAAGATCGTTGTCTCATTAAAGATACTTAATAGACGTTGAGAAGGACTTTTTCAGCTTCCTTTTAGATGCAGCTGTTTTTCAAAGTAACGATCTGCCGGTGTGGCGTAAAATTCATGCAACAGTCCCTCATCAATTTTTTCAGCCCGCGTCCTCATCCCTCTCCGACCGCTCGCCTCACTGATTACTTTATTCTAAGAAAACGATACTCTGGTGGTACATAAAACCTTCCGAGAAAGCCTTTACGTGCGTTATAAGAGAAGCAGAATGAAAAAATTTACGGAAGGATACTGCCAAAGAATCTTTATTCCCATGTTGATCCTCCATAAACAATATCTTGCCAGTGTGTAATAACGAAAGCTTCAATTGACAATCAAGTTTTGTTGTGTTTAAATATATTATGTAAGTTTATATTAAATATTATTATGTAAGTTTAAGTATACTGCTACTAATATACTTAATAATATACTTAAATAAAATAAAAAATAAATTTTATATATTACTTCCTTATTTCAAAAGTGATACAATTAACAAAATTTCTCAAAAAAAGGAAAAAACTATTTTTCAATTTGATAGAAAATTATTTATTAATTAAATAACATCAGCAAAAAGAATAAATTTTTAGTATGATTAGAATTCATTTTTGCCATTTTTATTTCACTTTAAAAAAAATCAGTTTTTTTTTATATGACAGTTTCGATGATTTTTTTTTTAAACCATCTTTTTTAAATTCTAACAATTTTGATGATTATTTATAAAAATAAGTTTACTTTTGAAAATTAATAATGTTTATTTAACTCATTCGCGGTAATAACTCGCAAATCGCATTTCTTAAGCTGTATTGATTTTTGAAGCACACAATTGGAAAGTATCAATACAAGATGAATATGTTAGGATGTAACACAAATATTATGTAAGAAAATTAACATAAAAGATGTAATATTAACACAATTTGTAAGCATATTTTTTAAAATAAAATTAATATTTATGGTTATATTAAATTAACAAGTATTTTGTTTATTCATTTTATAATTTATGTTTTGAAATACATTATTTTATATTATTTGTTTAGGTACTTATAAATATATAAATTGTGTTTTGATATTAACAATAAGAAATTTGAATATTAATTTAATACAAAATACTCAAATTAGAATCACATTTACATTCGGATATGTTATAAATTTAAGCCACAATTTTAACAATGATATGAGTGTATTTTAATTCAAATAGTATTTTTTGTATAGAATATGTGCATCAGAATGTAAAATAATACAAAATGTGTAGTAATACTTATAGTTTACTCATTCCGCGATGGAAAATTTCCTTCCTTTCATTTGTTAATGCAACGATCGGTTTGTATGTTTCGCACGAACAATCAGTTGATACATCATTCAAATTAACAATCGTGAAATTCTTCGGCTTCAAAGCGAAATCCGTTCGGAAATCCCTAACCGCAGAGCCGAATCGTCGATATTCTGCTCGCTCGAAATACCGCACAAAGTTCCACAATGCAACACAAAAAGCAGCCGATTCCAATCGTCGACTGTTAATCGGGTTTTTCACGTTGCAACCGTTGGTACGACGAGTGTGGATGGCAAAAAAGGCTTAAAACTGCAGGACGGGTCAGGGCGAGTTCTGAAGGGATGAGTTTGTTAACCCCCGACTGTGCTCTTTCTTCTCCGTTGAAAGTTCGTGGCGAAGGAACTCAAACGGGACGAGCTTCAGGTGTTTGCTAATGGCTTACGGCACTGAAACTAATCATTCGTTGATGGCCGCCTTTCTCCACTCCCCGTTTGTTCGTGACGTATTTATTCTCAGTCGCGTCAGAGCGACTTTCATTTCCACCCATATTAACGTGAAACTTAAAAGAAATCCGAATATAACATTGCAAGTTTAGGTATTTTCGTGCACGCCAAACGTTGACCTGCTTCAATTAACGTGTTCTACATTTCCAAGAAAGGTCAAACATATGACATAAAGAAATTCAATTTAAAAATCTATATGGAATTATACTTACGGCTTATGTTGAGTAAGCTAAAAGTGTTTTATTATCGATTAAACAATGACTGACAACAAATATTATGTTGTGATCAAATTTAAGCACAGAAGTGTCTCAAGGTGTACGTAAATGTAAAATAAATTAAAAACCTTTAGGTAAACAATTTTCGCTTTAGTTTTGAAATACACTTCATCAACAGTATAATTAAATCGTAGAAATGAAGTTTCTCGGAAGGTTTCTCTTTGATTTTCACCAAGATGAAACTCCCCGCTGAGTTACGACAAGGCGTAGTCTTTACGTCTCGAGCAGCAACCGAATTGCAAAAACTTGGGGTCTTCCAAAGTCATATCTCAACTATTTTCTCGTTACGCCGCCGCGCCGTCTCCCACGAAAGCAACGAGCGAAGAAGAGAAACCTACGACAGAGCACGACGAAGACATACAAAGGCAACGTTCGAAGTGCTCTCGAGCCTCTCGATCTTCCATTCGCGATGACTCGCGATCATTTTTCATAGATTCTTAAATTATAGCGATATCGCAAAAATAAGAATAAAGTACTATTAAAAGTCAAATCGTTACATTTACAGAAATGTTAATTACAGACAAAGAAATGAGAGAGAGGGAGAGGGAGAGAGAAGCAGATTCGTTCGTTTAGTTCTTCAAGACAAAAGTTCGCTCAAATGTATTTGTTAGCTACTAGAAGCAATCCGTTTGAAGAGATTACGAGACGAAGAACGCGGAGAATGTCATCGAAGCGTCTGCTTTTCGCGAGAGTAACGCAACACTTCTCGTTGAAATCCAAGTAGCTTATGTTTCCGGCCTCTCAGCTTGTTCAGTTGCGTGGAGAACTCGAACGAAACGATATGTCTTCGGATTCAGAGGATGTATCCCGTTGAGAGAGAGATAGAGATAAG